AGTTCAGCCACTAGATTTCAGCTACTGTCTAAAACCAGCTGTGCACACATCACCTCAGAGAGTCTCTGCAACAGCTACACTTTGCCAAAGTGTGATTTTGTACATAGCAGAGTGACACATCAACACCAGACCTAGCTACTGGTGGTAGCCAGAAACACAACAGAGGGAGGGGGTACTGCTAACCCCATGAAATCTCACAAGCAGCTGCTTCCTGAACAAGACTGACCCAAAACCTTTCCAATGAAAAGTGAAGCTTGGCAAGTCTGTCAAAGGCAATAAGGAAAGCACTGAAGTTTAAGCAAACAGGATCCAACCAGAACTTAAGATCAGTCATAGTTTTAAAGCCACAGGAATCACTGTAGATTAAATCTGTTCTCCTGCATAGCGATCCCCTCAGTAAATCTAACCTCTCAGAGGAATAAGTGACTGCTGGTACACAAGCTGGTGTGACAGTTAAATGCCAAAGAGGCTGTTCTGGTCAATAAGCTTCCAAAGACAAGTCAATAAGGATAATGAGAATATAGCATGAGAAGTTTGGCTTATTAGATCTGGAATTAAATCATGCATATTCTCATCTTTACCAGGCTGCTCTTCTGTGATTTCCCCTCCTTCCCATATTGGGCCAAAGAAAACACTGTACAACAATCATCCAAAACCGGACTCAAGATTCATGATGCTGCACCTGACCCCACTTAATTTCTGGCAATAGAAGAGGTAAGTAGTGTCAGAGGAGGAGGAGAAGGTCTCTCTACTCACCAGACGGCTCCTCCGGCTCGCTTTCATTCTCCTCTTCTGCAGGAGCTGGTGGAGGTGGTGGCGGCAGTTTCTTCTCCTTCTCAGCCTTAGCATTTCTCTCTTCCTCAGAGTAATACTCATCTTCTGACAGGTTTGCAAGACTCTCATCCATCTCTCTATACTCCACCTGTAAGAACCACAACAGAGGATAAACACACTGAAGATGTCTCTCAGTGTCACTGATAAAATGAACACTGCGAACAACAAAACTGCCTATAGCTCAAAAGGCCTCACTTACCTTGTCTTATTACAGCTGCCGGGTCATAAAATCTCCAACAGCTTAATGAGCTCCCTGCTCTACCTCCACTAAAGTCTTCAGTACCCAACTGTCCAATAATAGGAACTTCCTGCTCCTACGGAGCCCAGTTTATTGGTATTTGTTACATTATCATTCAACCTCTCTGGCCTTCTCCCCCTTCTTCACCTCCCTGTCAAGCCCAGGGGTAACAAAATCATCTCTATGTCCAATCCATATATTCCAGCTTGAATTCAGCTGTCAAACGTGGGTGACCAGACCTGTACACAAGATTCACTGAGGAAATCCCACATGGATTTCCTTGGGTGCATCTCACACTGGTTCAGAAACCAGGCTTTCTTCCCCAAGTTAGAAACTTTGTGTATTTCTACCTGTTGGAAAGGGAATAAACCACTTCTCAATATGCAGACATGGGAAAAAGAAAGAGAAAGCAGCTGTGACCCTCCAGCACCCCAGAGGTCACCTTGTGATGACCAAAGCAACTCTCCATGTGTCTTCAGGAGATCGACACGTCTGCCACAGTCCAAGTTCATTAAGACAGGGCAAGAAGGGGCACAATTCCCAACAGCACTGGGAAGTCGTGTACAGGAAAGCCTGAATTCAGTAAAACACCAACACACCAACATGAGCCACCTTTTAGATGCTCACGTTCCCTGTCCAGCACATTCACTTCTCACTGCCCAGCAAAAGCTGCACCCCCAGGACCTTGTGAACCCAGGTTCTGAAGCAAGTTTCAATGATCCCACGGCACCATAAGTACATTATCACAGGTATTTAAACCCAACACAAACTGCTTCTGCCCTAAGGCCCTCTGAAGCCTCCCCTCCTCCTTGAGCTCACACAACTTGCAGAGAACTGAGTCCAACGAAAACTCCAAGCTTTTCCCTAGGTTTGTTTTCAACCTGGACACCCTCCTCAATTGAGGGCACCCCACAGACATTCACAGTAAGGTGACCCTGTGCTACCCTGAAGTGACGACGGGGAGATGCTCTGCCAAAAAAGATTACCACCCTTAGCAAACCCACAGACACTGCAGTGATTCCTGCTTGTAAACAGACAACTGTAAAGCAAGTAAAACCCAGGTATGGTGCATCTAGAGATCACAGAATGGTCTGGGTTGGAAGGGACCTTGAAGCTCCTCCAGCTCCAACCCCTGCCATGGGCAGGGACCCCTTCCACTAGAGCAGCTTGCTCCAAGTCCCTGTGTCCAACCTGGCCTTGAACACTGCCAGGGATGGGGCAGCCACAGCTTCTCTGGGCACCCTGTGCCAGCGCCTCAGCACCCTCACAGGGAAGAGCTTCTGCCTAAGAGCTCATCTCAGTCTCCCGTCTGGCAGGTTCCAGGATGCACCAGGCTGACCTACCCAGCAACTCCTACATAGGTCGAACTATCACATGGGGTAGGAGCTCTGAAGAGGAATCCATTCAGTGCCGTGGCTACAGCACAACAGAGTTCCCAAGAGTGTTTTCAGCTTCCGCATCGAACCCACCCAGCACGGGCACAGCAGAGCCTCAAAGCCTCCTGCAGGGAGCTTTCCAATGAAACTTCCACAAAAGAAATGGCGATTTCTCCATGTTCAGAGCAACTCCCGGCTGTTACACACCAGGCACACACAAAGGCACCAATCACCACAGGCTGCCTGCAGCCTTTAGAGCGCACCGATAAACCTCAGTTAACGCCCGGGCGGCACCGAGCGGCGGCGGGGCCCCAAGGGCCGCAACGCGCCCGCACGCAGCCCCGCACCCCCCACGCACCTTGGCCCGCTTGCGCCGGCTGGTCCTGCGGCCCTCGGGGGTCTCGGCGGTGCCCGTGGTCTCGGCGCCGGGCGCAGGGCCGGCCCCGGCTGCCGGCGGCTCGGACAGAGCGCCCGGGGGCGAGGCCCGCGGCGGCTCCTTCTTGCGGGGCGTGCGCTCCGCAGTGCCGCCGCTCTCGGCAGAGGAGCCCGGGGCCCCCGCGGCGGCGGGCGGAGGCACCGGAGCCTCAGGCCCGCCCTCGCCGCCCGCCGCCGCCTCCGCGCCCTTCTTGCCCCCCGACAGCATCGCCCCGGCCGCGCCGCACAAAGGAGCCCGAGCCGCGGAGCGAGGGAGGCCGCGCCGCGCCGCCGACTGACGTCACGTCCGGGCCGCACCGGGGCGGAAGGGAAGGGTCCGTGCCTCAGAGCTCATCTCAGTCTCCCCTCGGGCAGGTTAAAGTCATTCCCCTTGGCCTGTCCCTACATCCCTTGTCCCAAGCCCCTCTCCAGGTTTCCTGCAGCCCCTTCAGGCACTGGAGCTGCTCTCAGGTCTCCCCTTCAGGAGCCTTCTCTTCTCCAGGCTGACCCAGCCCAGCTCTCTCAGCCTGGCTCCAGAGCAGGGATGCTGCAGCCCTCGCGGCAGCTCCACGTCCCTCTTGTGCTGTTGCCCCAGAGCTGGACGCAGCCGAGAGGACACCAGATATACAGCACACAGATGGAGTTGTAGGTGGCAAAGCCGGTTGCATCGCTGTGTTGCACCTGTGTAGGTGGCATCGCTGTGTTGGTGGCACCTTGGCAGAGCTCACCCTGTGTGGGTGATGCAGCAGAGCAACAAATAGCAGCAGGCACTTGGCAGGTACAATGACTCTCCATGTGCCTACCACCGATTCTAATGGGGACCTGGCATTGTGATAACAACAGCAGCAGCATCTACCAACATAGTGCCCCATAGGGACCCCAAACCCCCCCGTGCTCCATAAGTACCCCAACACCCATCGATTATTTCATTCATTTTCATTCCTCAGGGATCGGTGTTGGGACCGGTCTTGTTCAACATCTTCGTTGCTGACATGGACAGTGGGATTGAGCCCACCCTCAGCAAGTTTGCCAATGACACCGAGCTGTGTGGTTCGGTTGATACGCTGGAGGGAAGGAATGCCATCCAGAGGGACCTCGACACGCTTGTGAGGTGGGCTGATGCCAACCTCATGAAGTTTAACCATGCCAAGTGCAAGGTCCTGCACCTGGGTGGGAGCAATCCCAGGCACAGCTACAGGTTGGGCAGAGAAGAGATTCAGAGCAGCCCTGCAGAGAAGGACTTGGGGTGCTGGTTGATGAGAAAATGAACATGAGCCGGCTTCAGTGCGCGCTTGCAGCCCAGAAAGCAACCGTATCATGGGCTGCATCAAAAGGAGCGTGACCAGCAGGTCCAAGGAGGTGATCCTGCCCCTCCACTCTGCTCTCGTGAGACCTCACCTGGAGCATTGCGTGCAGTTCTGGTGTCCTCAACATAAAAAGGACATGGAACTGTTGGAACAAGGCCATAGGAGGCCACGAGGATGCTCAGGGGCTGGAGCACCTCCTGTATGAAGATAGGCAGAGAGAGTTGGGGCTGTTCAGCCTGGAGAAGAGAAGCTGCATGGAGACCTCAGAGCAGCTTCCAGCATCTGAAGGAGGGCTATAAGGATGCTGGGGATGGACTCTTGATTAGGGACTGCAGTGACAGGACAAGGGGTGATGGGTTCTAACTGAAATAAGGGAAGTTTATATTGGATATAAGGAAGTTTTTTACTGTGAGGGTGGTGAGGCACTGGAATGGGTTGCCCAGGGAGGTTGTGAATGCTCCATCCCTGGCAGTGTTCAAGGCCAGGTTGGACAGAGCCTTGGGTGACCTGGTTTAGTGTGAGGTGTCCCTGCCCGTGGCGGGGGGGTTGGAACTGGCTGATCTTAAGGTCCTTTCCAACCCAAACCGTTCTGTGATTTCTATTCACTTCGTTTACAATAACTCTCATTTGCTTTATTCAGTTTCATCCAAGTGTATTCGGGTTTCAGCCCCTTTCAGGCACTTGTTCCGCCGTTATTCAAGCTGCACGCTGCGGCCCGCCCCTCCGGTGCCCGCTCCCGGGGGCCCGGCTCCCGGAGCGCCAACCTCCGGCCGCCGCAGCCGAGCCGGCAGCACAGAGCGGCCGCTGGGCGGCGCCATCGCCACGGTACCAATGGCGGCGGCGGCGGCCCTGGCGCTGCTCTGTGCGGCCGCCGCGCTCGGCCCCGCGGTGCCCGCGCTCCGCTACCGCCCGGACTGGGCCAGCCTGGACGCGAGGCCGCTGCCGGCCTGGTTCGACCAGGCCAAGGTGGGGGTGTTCGTGCACTGGGGGGTGTTCTCCGTCCCGGCCTGGGGCTCCGAGTGGTTCTGGTGGCACTGGAGGGGCGAGCACCGAGCCGACTACGAGGGCTTCGTGCGGCGCCGCTTCCCTCCCGGTACCACCTACACCGACTTCGCTCCCCTCTTCACGGCCCACGACTTCCAGCCCCGCGACTGGGCCCGGCTCTTCCAGCGGGCTGGGGCCAGGTCAGTGCCGGGTGCTGGGGGGGTGGCGGGGCCCTGGTCACTGTGGGGGCCATGTCTGGGGGGGGGCCCAGCAGGATTCAGGGGTCCCAGAGCGGCTGGGGGGTCCCTGAGGAGCACACGGTGCTGAGGAGGTGATGGGTCTTGCTGCTGCGTAATCTTGACTCTTCCAGTGTTAAAACCCCTCTGTTCTTCTGTAGTCGCTTCTTTATTTCAAGGGTGATCAGAGAATCAAACAATCCCAGACTGGTTTGGGTTGGAAAGGACCTTAAGATCATCCAGTTCCAACCCCCTGCCATGGGCAGGGACACCTCACACTAAACCATGGTACCCAAGGCTCTGTCCAACCTGGCCTTGAACACCACCAGGGATGGAGCATTCACAGCTTCCCTGGGCAACCCATTCCAGTGCCTCAGCACCCTCACAGGAAAGAACTTCTTCCTTATATCCAATCTAAACTTCCCCTGTTTCAGTTTGAACCCATCACCTCTTGTCCTATCCCTAAGTCTCTAATGAAGAGCCCCTCTCCAGCACCCTTGTAGCCCCCTTCAGACACTGGAAGCTGCTTTGAGGTCTCCACACTGCTTCTCTTCTCCAGGCTGAACAGCCCCGATGTTCTCAGTCTGGCTCCATACAGGAGGTGCTTCAGCCCCTGAGCATCCTCGTGGCCTCTTCTGGACTTGCTCCAACAGCTCCGTGTCCTTCTGATGCTGAGGACACCAGAACTGCACCCAGTGCTGCACGGGGGGTCTCACTCCAGTGAGCCCTCAAAGAGGGTTCCTCACAGCATGGTTCTTCAGCCCCTTGCTTTTACACTGACTTGGGCCTGCCAGGGAGGCTGGGGAACGTCTCGGGTATTTCCTTTGTCCTGATGAAGTACGTTGTTTTCCCCCCAGGTATGTGGTACTGACCGCGAAGCATCACGAAGGCTTCACCAACTGGGGGTCATCCGTGTCCTGGAACTGGAATTCTCTGGACACGGGGCCCCACCGGGATCTGGTAGGAGAGCTGGGACAAGCCCTCAGGGAGAGGTACGGCACTGCCAAACTCTGCTCTTGACAAACAGTGGAAGATCATTAGTTTATTATAAGGAAAACAGTATCCTAAGGTCTTCTGTGAAGTAGTAATGCGAATAACCTGATCTGCCTCTGGTTCTTAATCCCTCCTGCCAGCCTAACCCTTTCCTCTGGGTTCTCTGTCCTTCAGCAACATCCGCTATGGGCTGTATCACTCCCTGTTAGAGTGGTTTAATCCACTCTATTTAGCTGACAAAGAAAGTGGCTTCAAGACCCAGAACTTCGTTCTGAAGAAGACGATGCCAGAACTTTATGATCTCGTCCTAAAGTAAGAGCTACGACTGCTTAGAAGTCAAGAGCACTTCCTGGCTTCAGTAGTGTAGAGAAAGATGCAGAGAAGAGAGGGGACAAATGATAATTCTTTGTGTGTAGAATAAACCTGGTAATGGCAGGCAGTAGGAAGAGGAAGTGAAGCTATGCTCCATCACCAGAAACACAGTGTTCCTTTGTGGGAGGAGGAAACGAGCCACTGTGAAGTAACACTCATCTCTCTGTTAGATACAAACCTGATTTGATTTGGTCGGATGGAGACTGGGATGCTCCAGAGTCATACTGGAATTCTACCTCTTTCCTTGCCTGGCTCTATAACGACAGTCCTGTCAAGGTATCACTTTCAGCTGTCGCTCACAGCCAGTGCTTTATGGGTATGGGAGGTTTGGGAGCAGTGAGATATGAATGGGATCAAATCAGAAACCCACTGCAGATACCACATGTGCCTTATTCTTTCACATGCACAAAAGCCTAAACCGTGTTCCTTGGGAAGACTCCAGTGTCCTTTACAGCACACACATGAGAGGCTCAGAGCCCAGGAACCTTCTTGCCTCAACTTCTGCAAATACTGTGAGTGAATAGAGAGAGGTTCTCCCAGACTGGATTCCAGCCTTCTCTGGAGGATCCTCGCTCTCATTCTGCTGATTACACAGTGGGGTTTAGGTGCTTACCTCCTGAGATGCCTTTGCTAACTAAGGAGGGATAATGCAAGCTGAAAAGGGTGAACGTTCTCCCCACTGAGCTGAGTTTCTTCTTTCAGGACACTGTTGTTGTTAATGATCGTTGGTGCAGTAACTGCTCGTGCCATCACGGAGGCTACTACAACTGTGCTGACAAGTACAAGCCAGGGACTCTGCCAGCTCACAAGTGGGAGATGTGCTCCTCCATTGACAAGCTGTCCTGGGGCTATCGGAGCAACATGAACATTGCAGAGTTAATGGATGAAGGAAGCATCATTGAGGTAAGAAATCTGGAACCAGTATAACAGGTATAAGGGGGTTTACTGAGAATTAGAGGTTTCCTTCGGCCTCCTGCTTGCTGAAAGAGTTGTTGTGTTCCACACAATCAGGCTGGAGCTAAAGGAGCAGCTGATGAGGACTAAGCCTTCCTCAGATTCCTTTTCTCTCAGAGGTGATTATAATGCCATTTGTTACCTTGGTTTATCTGTCCCAGGAGCTAGTGCAGACTGTGAGTTTTGGAGGCAACTACCTGCTCAATGTGGGACCTACAAAAGAAGGGGTGATTGTTCCCATCTTCCAAGACAGACTTTTGGCCCTTGGGAGGTGGCTGGACACTAATGGGGAGGCGATTTATGAAACGAAGCCATGGAGGGTACAGATGGAGAACAGCACAGACATGGTGTGGTAAGGACCCTGCTGCATGGTGTCATCTGAGCTGGCATGGCTTCCTTACCTGTTCTTACATTTAGCGTGCTCTGAAGTGTTGCCATCAAGTGCAGATGGCACTGTGGCAGTATGCTACAATTGAAGTGCTCAGGTACTGCCCCAAGGTCTTCTCTAGTTTGAATTGCACAAATGTAGCTCATCTGAACACACACAGTTTGTAAAGGTAGAGATGTTTGCTTTTAAGCTGCTACAGGATGGTACTGATCGTTGTTACCCAGCTGAGAAGGGCAACAGTGAACCAGAAACTGCTACAAACCAGAGTTATTTTGTTTCCTGCAGTGTGTTCAGGGTAGGAATGCAGAGCAAAGAGCAGCATATCCGCTCTGTTGACCGCAGCTGAGGCAAGGACAGATTAGCAAATGACACGTGGACTTTGTTTCGGTTTCATCAGCCAGTGCTGCCTGGCCAAATGGTGGGTCCAACGGGACAGGTTTTGGGATGAGGGGAAAGTAGGGGACCGCTGAGCTGTGGCAATAGGCAGTTGGTGTTCTTGTGCCATCTGGGATGGGGAAACTCGTATCTGTTCTCTCTCTTAGAATCATAGAATAGTTCGGGTTGGAAAGGACCTTAAGATCATTCAGTTCCAACCCTCTGCCATGGGCAGGGACACCTCACACTAAACCAGGTCACCCAAGGCTCTGTCCAGCCTGGCCTTGAACACTGCCAGGGATGGAGCATTCACAACCTCCCTGGGCAACCCATTTCAGTGCCTCAGCACCCTTACAGTAAAGAACTTCTTCCTTAGATCCAATCTAAACTTCCCCTGTTTCAGTTTGAACCCGTTACCCCTTATCCTATCACTACAGTCCCTAACGAAGATTCCCTCCCCAGCATCCTTATAGTCCCAGCACCCTTATATAGCCTCTTATGTGGCTCTTGACCTCGCTCTTATAGGTACACTTCTAAGGGACCTGTTGTCTACGCCATCTTTCTGCTCTGGCCTCGGGACAACGTTCTGGGGCTGTCCTCACCTGCTCCATCCCCAGACACACAAGTAAGGAGCTTGGAAAACAGATAACACCCTCTGAGAGCCTGTCCTGGGCACGTGTGGGCTGGGAAGGGTGCAGCCTGGCTTCATTTGGAAACTGGGGAGAGCGTGGAAGTTGTCATCCTGTGCTTCTTGCTCTGGGGTGCTCTGGCCTGCCTCCACATCCTCGCAGCATCCCAGATTATTCTCCAGCCTTTGGCTCACTGTTAACACAGGGCATTGGGTACGATTTATGAGGACAGGCTTATTGTCTGCCACAAAGCAAGCAGAGACACTTCTCCCCCAGAGCTTTTTGATCCTATTGGCCCAGGGAGGTAAATAACAAGCCTCACACACAGAAGGGATCACTGGTCTTGCGTCTCCAATTCAGATCGGGTACACTGACCCCTCATTGTCATTGGAGTGACGCAAATGCTGGGGTGCCCTTTGCTCTAAACAAACAGGGCTGAAGCCTGCACAGTAAAAACAGCAACTGAGCATTTCCCCTGCCCTCCTCTGCAGGTGACCATGTTGGGGCTTGTGGGAACACTGAAGTGGCAAAAGTCCCCTGGTGAAGGACTGCTCGTAACGCTGCCCTGCATGCCTCCATCCCCCCAGTCTGGCTGGGTCCTCAAGCTTGAGGGTGTGAAGTGATGGCTGCAGGATGGAAGCAGCAATCTGCCCCTGCCTTCCCTTCAGACTGAATCCAGGAGGATTTTTCAGTTATTGTTGAATAAATTGGTTTTCTCATAAGAGAATCTCTCTTCCAGTCCCTTTTGCCTGTGATCTGGGTGTCAAGGGGCCATGTTTGAAGAGATCTAGAAGAAATCAGCTATAGAAAATCGTGGTCTAATACAGATCCATTATTTATATTTTGGGGGAGGCAGCTGTAAGCAGAAAAGGTTTGTTCTGATGTGCTCAATTGATGGAATCATAGAATCAGAGGTTAGAAAAGACCTTTAAGGTCATAAAGTCCAACCATTTCCCAGCACTACCAAGGCCATCACTAACCCATGGCACTGAGGCCTCATCTCCATGGTGTGTGAACACTTGCAGGGATGGTGACTGCAGCCCTGCCCTGGGCAGCCTGTTCCAATGCCTGAGCACCCTCTGGGGAAGGAATTGTTCCTCAGCTCCATCTAAACCTGCCCTGGTGCAGCTTGAGGCCGTTTCCTCTTGTCCCATCCCTTGTTCCTTGGGAGCAGAGCCCAGCCCCTCCTGGCTCCATCCTCCTGTCAGGCACTTGTAGGCAGCCATCAGGGCCCCCCTGAGCCTTCTCATCTGCAGACTGAACCCCTCAGGTCCCTCAGCCGTTCCCCATCACACTTGCGCTCCAGGCCCTGCACCAGCTCCGTTGCCCTTCTCTGGCCCCACTGCAGCACCTCAGTTGCCAAACAGCGATCTGTACTGAGAAACCTCTGTGGACTGGAGAACTGGCACTGGCTGCCAGTGACGTGCTCACGGGGCATCGCCCTGGCTCTCGTGGTGATGCTGATACAAACGCGGAGCCAGGTTAAGAAGGGAAAACAGGGTGATGGCTCCTTTGCCAACCCGGTCACGCCGGTAGCTTCTGGTGCAGGAGGGCGCCCATCCAAAACAAACACGCGGTGCCTATTTAGGGGCGCGGGCCAGCGGGAAAGCCACCGTGTGATGAGCAGCTCCCGAGCGGCCGCACGGTGCCGGTGCCGGAGGGGAACATGCCGCAGTGCGACACGGGCTCGCTGGCGCGGGACGGCACGCGGGGACCGGTACGAGCGGGGTCCCTCTCGGGGGGGGGGGGGGGCAGCGAGCGGAGAACCGGGACCGGGATGGGGACCAGGATCGGGACCCACGGGGGGAGCTCGGCAGCGCCCCTGTCATGTGATCACACACACCCCCTCGGGTCACGTGAGAGGGGTCGGACATGGCGGCGGCGCGGCGGCTGCTCCCTCGCTGGGCGGTGCCGTTGCGGCCGGTGAGGGGGATCCGGGGGTCGCGGGTTCGGGGCCCGGGGCCGGGGCTCGGAGGTCGGGGCTCTCCTGACGCCCTCCCTCTGTCCTCAGGTCAGCTCCGCGGCGGCATCCGGAGCCCTCCCGAAGCGGGTGAAGGTGGTGGAGGTGGGGCCGCGCGATGGGCTCCAGAACGAGAAGGTACGGACGGGAGCGGGGCTGCGCCGAGCACGGGGGCCGTGGTGCCAGCAGCAGCCTGTCCTGGGTGGGTTTTGTTTCGAAACGCCGCTTTTTGAGGCAATAACAACCGAGAGTGGTTCTCTTCTTCTCAGAACGTTGTTCCGACACCGGTGAAAATCAGTTTAATCAACATGTTGGGCGAGACGGGGCTCCAGGTCATAGAGGCAACCAGCTTTGTGTCCCCCAAGTGGGTTCCTCAGGTCAGTATTGAAGTGTTCGGTAGAACCGTGTGGTAAAAGATGCCTCCTCATAGGGAGTAACATGGTCAAAAGCTTCTGCTTGCTCCCAAATCCCCACACTGGGAAAGAGCAAAGCCAAATAAAGGTGCTTGCGACATCGCAGCCCTTTGGACCCAGAGGAGGAGCACGCAGCAGCTCGGGTCCCAGCAGTGTCTGTGTGCGGGTGACTGAGCTGTGCTCCCGCGCTGGGTGCAGCCCTGCTGCCTCTTCAGGGGCCCGTTGCTCTGGTTCCGAAACAGTTCCGTCCCCATCGTAAAAAGAGGGTTTAGAAATGATTTCTCATTCACAGAGGTGGGTGTTGTCGCCCTCAGAAACCTCTCCCTGTTCCCCTTGCAGATGGCTGACCATACCGAAGTCATGCAAGGAATCACCCAGCTGCCTGGTGTGAGTTACCCTGTGCTCACCCCGAACCTGAAGGGATTCCAGGCTGCGGTAAGAGGTGGCAGCATCAGGACATTCCCAGTGTTCCCAGGCTCTGGTTAAGGATGGGAACTCTATCTTCCATCCTGCAGGCAGCAGTCTCATCTTGTAGTTCCTTTCCAAGGGATCATTTTGCTGGGGGAGTAAGGATCTGTTGTTTGGAAGTAGAGGATCTTAAGGTCCTTTCCATCCCTAACTATTCATGAGTCTATAATAGAAAAGACCTTCAAACATCTTCTGTTGTTAAAAAGACACCTGTTTGAATTGGCAGTGGTGCTGTCAGTCTTACCTGCACGTCCCACAGCACTCCTGACTACACCCAGCTTTACTGCTGACTCTGTAAGCTTACACTTCTTTGATGTGAGACTTGGATCTCATCATGGTTTTGCTGTAGAATGAACTGAGGAAAGAACTGGGTTATTCAGGAGGAAAGTGGGGGAGACTTTTTGATAGAATGGGAGCATTGCAGTTGTGTTTGTCCTTCCCCTTGCAAGAGAAATCAGCTCACTTGAAGTTGTGCTTTCTGCTGGCAGGTGGCAGCGGGAGCCAAAGAAGTGTCCATCTTTGGGGCAGCATCTGAGCTCTTCACCAAGAAGAACATCAACTGCTCCATAGATGAGAGTCTGGAGCGGTTCAGTGAAGTGATGGCAGCAGCGAGAGCAGCCAACATTCCTGTCCGTGGGTGAGGGATTCCTGCTGCAGACAGAGATGTAACTGCCCTGCTTCCTCCCTGTGGAGCTGGCCTGGGCAGTGCAGGGGGATTGCTTTTCAGTTTTACCTGGTTTTGGGGGGTGTCTCTCTACTGGGATGGGTGCAGGACATGGGAGCTCAGTGCATGGAGAAGCATTGGTGTGGGAACAGTCACATAACACCCTGGCTTTTGGAATAGGAAATGAATTCTTCCGTTGTATGGAGCATGTGAGGTGCAGCACGAGCCCTGCCTGACCTGGCCGGTACAATCTCACTACAGTTCTCTAGCTAAGGGTGTATTTTTTAACCACAGATACGTTTCCTGTGTCCTTGGCTGTCCCTACGAGGGGAAGATTTCTGCAGCTAAAGTTGCAGAGGTGAGTTCATCGGCTGGGTGGGGTTTGTCTCGCTTTTATGGAACTGACTTGGACACTGAGGGTTAAATGGTGTCCAGCCATTGAACTGGACTGAGGGGAGACTGGGGAAGGCTACAGGGAGCTGCCACCACGGTGGGGAGGGCTGAGTGGAGCTGGAATGGATGGGAATTCAGGGAGCTGTGGGGACCCGGAGATGTTTGATCCTGGAGAAGAGTCCCCATGGTGCTGCGTTCCAGGGAAGCGTGCGCTGATCCCTGTGTACAGCCAGTGTCCCTCTTTGGGGAATGGGATGACCAGGCTGCCTTCTCAGTAAACACCTTGGCTTTTGGACAGGTCTCGAAGAAGATGTACTCCATGGGATGCTATGAGATTTCCCTCGGTGACACCATTGGCATTGGGACCCCGGGGAGCATGAAGGAGATGCTGACAGCTGTCATGAAGGAGGTGCCAGTTGGGGCTCTGGCTGTTCACTGCCACGATACCTACGGGCAGGCTCTTGCCAACATCTTGGTAGCACTTCAGGTAAGATCCTTGCTTGGAGTGTTGCATTTTTCCATGTTTATTTGGGGCTCGGTTTTGTGCTTGCTGTAAGCTGTGGATTTGTTTTGTGCTTGCTGTAAGCTGTGGATTTGAGGGGTAGGATGAGGCACAGTTCATTGTTTAAGGGTTTACTGATGGTGGGGTCATTTGCAGATGGGTGTGAGCGTGGTTGATGCTTCCGTTGCTGGCCTTGGAGGCTGCCCCTATGCCCAAGGAGCATCGGGAAACGTTGCCACGGAGGACTTGGTGTACATGCTGCACGGGCTGGGCATCCACACGGTAAGCACCAGCCTGCAGCAGCTGAGCCCCTCGCACCGTGGCTCTGCTTGGGCTTCAGCAGGGGTGCAGAATGTGACCCAGGGAGCCTGAGCGAAGCGGGTAGAGCTACGGAGGATCCCTCTGGGTCTGGTGGGGGCCTTGTTGTGCCATGCCAAGCCCACTCCTCCGCCCTTTTCCAGCGCGTTTGATTTCACCCTCACTGTCTGAGTCACACCAGTGAGCAGCAGGCACCCAGGGCCTTGTGAAAGCACCCACTGGGGCCCCTTCACCCCTGCTGGTCTGTTATGGGGCAGTGTGACTGGCAGAGCTGGTGCTAAGGAGTGTCCTGTCTTTCTTCCCATAAAGGGTGTGGATCTGCAGAAGCTGATGGATGCGGGCACGTTTATTTGCAATGCTCTCAACAGACGAACCAATTCCAAAGTGTCCCAGGCCTCTTGCAGACTGTGATACCAAATGGAGTTTCTCCTTGGACCAAGAAGAAAGCAAGGATCCAGGCTGGCTGGGTTTCCCCTCTGATCATGGGTGCCCTTTCCAGACTCAGTGCTTGGGAGGAAATGCGTAATCCACCAGAATCAGTGACGAAATGAGAAGAAACAAACCCCAGGACTACTGTGTGCAACCTTGATGCCATCAGCCATCTGCCTTAGGGAAGGGAGGATGCGGTGGGCTGAGGGAGCCACAACCCGTGCCTGGGAGCTGTGGTCTCCAGCACCAGCTCAGAACAGGGTCTGGTGACTTCTGCCTTGAGAGTGTGTTGCCGTCATGCTACCAGCAGGGGATAAAGCACAGCTTTTGCCATTAGAGCCGGTCTCCAGGTCAGGCTCGACCTCTCTTCCCTTCTCTCTCCTCACTACAGATGCTAAGGCTGAAACCAAAGGACTCCCCTTCCTCATTCAGGTGCCAGGGGCAGCCTTGGACCTTCTGCCTTAGTGTTTAGGGGCTGTCGTAATGGGCTGTATCTGTTGTAAGGTACTTCTAACTACCGGGAGTAATGAACACCTTATTTAATATTCTAAACTGTTAGAAATTGAGTAGAATTAAATGAGCTAAGGAGCTTTTGCTGCTGGTTTGGTGCCTTTTCCATTCACCCTGGGCTGGGGCAGTGTGGAACACACATGTTCTGTGCATGTGTGTCCTGTGCACAGCTGTGTGTGTTCTGTGCACGTGTATGTTCTGTGCTTATGTGTATGTTCTGTGCACACCTGTATATGTTCTGTGCACGTGTGTGTTCTGTGCACACACATGTTCTATGCACACACGTGTTCTGTGCACACATGTTCTGTGCACAGGTGTGTTCTATGCACACACGCATTCTATGCACACACATGTTCTATGCACACATATGTGCTGTGCACACACGTGTGCTGTGCACACACGCGTTCTATGCACACACGCGTTCTATGCACACACATGTTCTGTGCACACACATGTTCTGTGTACACACGTGTTCTATGCACACACGTGTTCTATGCACACACGTGTTCTGTGCACACACATGTTCTATGCACACACGCGTTCTATGCACACACACGTTCTTTGCACACACGTGCTGTGCACACACGCATTCTATGCACACACGCGTTCTATGCACACACACGCGTTCTATGCACACACACGTGTTCTATGCATACACACGTGCTCCGTACTTTGCTGGCCCCGCCCCTTACCTCCTCTGAGCCCCCCTCCCCTCACTACACCGCCCCCCGCGCATGCGCGCCCCGTGTCTCTCGTGTCCCCTCTGCCGCCCCGTAGCGCCGGTGACGCGTTTCCATGGGAGAGCGGCGCGCGTGGCACCGGCGGGGCGGGGCTCGCGGCCGGGCCTTAAAGGGGCCGCACCGGGAGCGGGGCAGGACCGGAGCGGTGGCAGCGGCGGGAGAGGGAGAGCGGCCGGGCCCGACCCGACCCCCCCCGCAGCAGGGACCCGAGACCCCGGGCCGCTGAGGTGAGTGCAGCCCCTGAGCTGCGGGCCCGGCCCCTCGGGTAACCCCCGGGCAGGGCAGCGCCGCGGGGCGCCTTTGGGTCTCGGTGCGGCTCCGGCAGGGGTTGGAGCCATCACCGGGTGATAACGGGGGCTCTGCCCCGTCCCCACGCTCCAGGGGCTCGCTTCTCGCCTGGGGCCTGGCGGCCCTGCGGTCTGCAGGGACCCGGTGCCGCCGTCCTGGGAGTCTGGGGTTGGGATGGAGCCGGTGCTGGGAGGGTCGGGTCGGGTCGGTGGGAAGGGGGGATTTGAGTGGGAAGGGGCAGAGCTGGCACCCCCGAGCACAGCCCCCCCATCGCCGCTGTCGGACGGGTCCTTCCCCTCGCGCTCTGGGACGGATCCCGAGGGATTTGCGCTGCAGGACGCGGGTCCTGCAGGATCCCGGCTGGAATTAACAAGGAAGAAGGAGGGGTTCCCCCGGCCCGTGACACGTGTCAGCCGCACCCTGCCTGTGCGGGAGGTGCGAGCGGTGCCGCACGGTGCGCTCCTGCCCTGCCCGGATGTCCTGGTGCACGCAGGGCTGATGCGGCGCTGACCACGTCCTCCCCGGCCCTTCCCCTCCCAGGGGCTTCGTGTTCCCCCTTCCACTGAAGGGCCCTCCCTCCCAGGGAGCCATGGCAGAGAAGATCCTGGTGACCGGCGGCGCTGGCTACATCGGCAGCCACTGCGTGCTGGAGCTGGTGCAGGCTGGCTACGTCCCCGTGGTCATAGACAACTTCCACAACGCCATCCGAGGTACCGAGCGCCTTCCTCCCATCCCATCCCATCCCATGCCAGGGGCTCGGCCCCTCTCCGCCTGTGCTGGGGGTGTTCCAGCTACCCCAGCGCCTCGCTCCTTTCCCTGTGCCCAGGGGCAGATGCGCTCCCCGAGAGCCTCCGGCGGGTGCAGCAGCTCCTGCGCCAGCCCATCCTCTTCCAGGAGATGGACATCACCGATGGGGCAGCGCTGCAGGAGCTCTTCAGCAAGGTGAGAGCGAGAGCCCCAAGGAGGGCTCCGAGGGGTTTGTGCTGGGGCTGGAAGGCAGGAGCTGGGTGGGGAAGAGAGCGCTGGGGAGATGCTGGGAGCAGCAAATGCTCCCCCTGGCCATGGAGAGGACAAGGGCTGGCTGGGGGGGCTTGTGGCTGCTTTCTGCCCTGAGCTCCTGCCTCCTGCTAACACCAAGCTCTTTGTCCCGTGGCAGCACCGCTTCTCGGCCGTGATGCACTTTGCGGGGCTGAAGGCAGTGGGGGAGTCAGTGCAGAAGCCGCTGGAGTACTACAGAGTGAACCTCACCGGGACCATCCGGCTGCTGGAGGTGCCTGGAGCCAGGAGGCAGAGTGGTTGGGGTTGTGCAGCCTGGAGAAGAGAAGCTGCGTGGAGACCTCAGAGCAGCTTCCAGTGTCTGAAGGGGGCTATAGGGATGCTGGGGAGGGACTCTTCATTAGGGACTGTAGGGATAGGACAAGGGGTGATGGGTTAAAACTGAAGCAGGAGAAGTTTAGATTGGATCTAAGGAAGCTCTTCCCTGTGAGGGTGCTGAGGCACTGGAATGGGTTGCCCAGGGAAGTTGAGAATGCTCCATCCCTGGCAGTGTTCAAGGCCAGGTTGGACAGAGCCTTGGGTGACCTGGTTTAGTGTGAGGTGTCCGTGCCCATGGCAGGGGGGTTGGAACTGGATGATCTTAAGGTCCTTTCCAACCTTAACTGTTCTATGATTCTATGTGGTGCTGGGTGCAATCCTGCTCGGGAGGGGCTGAGCCGGGATATGGAGCTCGCTGGCTCAGCAGTGGCTGCTCCCCGCTCCTCAGGCCATGAAAGCCCACGGCGTGAGGAACCTGGTGTTCAGCAGCTCTGCCACCGTCTACGGAGACCCCAAGTACCTGCCCCTGGATGAGAAGCACCCAGCTGGAGGCTGCACCAACCCCTATGGCAAATCCAAGTACTTCATCGAGGAGATGATTCGAGATCTCTGCCAAGCAGAGAAGGTGCGGAGCCACCCCTGGGTGCGCAGGGCTGGGAGCTGAGCTCTGCCCACTGGAGCACGCTGGGATGACCAGGCACTGCGTACGGGATGGATGTGTCTCCCCCGGAGCTGGATGTATCCCTCTTGTGCCTCTCTCTCTCCCCAGGACTGGAACGCCGTTCTCCTGCGCTATTTCAACCCCATTGGTGCCCACGAGTCAGGCCTGATCGGAGAAGATCCTCAGGGGATCCCCAACAACCTCATGCCCTACGTGGCGCAGGTACTGCCCCGCTGCAGCCGTCAGGGACCCCATGGCTCGTGGTGCCTGTGTGGGGCAGAGGCTGACGGGGCTCTCCTGGTCTTGCCCCTCTGTGCAGGTGGCTGTGGGGCGCCGGGAATTCCTGAACGTATTCGGGAATGACTACAAGACGGATGATGGAACGGGTATGGATGGAGCAGAGAGGCCCCAGGAGCTCCCTGCCCAGCCTGGCTGCACCCCTTTGGGCAGGAGAGCTTTGCCCTCAGCCTCTGCATCCCCGCAGGCGTCAGGGATTACATCCACGTCGTGGACTTGGCCAAGGGCCATATCGCTGCTTTGAAGAAGCTCAAGGAGAACTGCGGCTGCAAGGTACCGGGGGCGGTCAGGGCTGTGGGGCTGGGCCCTAGGGGTGCTAAGCAGCTGACCCATGTCTTCTCCTCCTTCCAGATCTACAATCTGGGCACAGGCACCGGCTACTCTGTCCTGCAGATGGTCCAGGCCATGGAGAGAGCCTCAGGGAGGGAGGTAAGGTCTGACCTGCGCCTGCAGGGCCACAGGCACAGGAAGCCCTCAGTGCCCCAGCAGCACCAGGCACCGCTCCTTCAGCTCCTGGGGCTCAGATCCATCCCCTCCACTGAGCCCCTTGGCGCTGCTCTCGCTGCAGATCAGGTACAGGATCACGGCCCGGCGCGAGGGGGACGTGGCCTCCTGCTACGCTGACCCCACGCTGGCCGAGCGTGAGCTGGGCTGGAAAGCTGCCTTTGGCCTGGACAAGATGTGTAAGAGCATCCCCAGCCCCTTCCTGCCCTGTGCCAGCTGCTGCTCCTCTCCTACCCCCCTGACCCTGGCTCTCCCTATTGCAGGTGAGGACCTGTGGCGGTGGCAGCTGCAGAATCCCACAGGCTTCAGCAAGAACTGAGCCATGGCCCCTGGGCTGCTCCCCAGTGAGGCTGTGATCACCCTGGGTGCGATTCCAGCTCCCCTCCTGCCTCTGGCGTGGGGCAGCCCCAGCCTCTCCACTCCTCACCCTCCCCACTCCCCCAGGTCCTTCGCATCTCAGAGCAGAAACACAAGGGAAAACGCAGCCAGGGCCCTGCTTTGGCACCCAGGGCACAGAAACCCCTGGTGGGACTGCACAGGGGCCGGTGCCCACCCTAGCAGGGACCTGAACCACCCCTCCCCTGCTGCACCCAACCCGCCCAGCTCAGGGGGCAGGGGCTGTCCCTGGCTTAAGGGGGAGACCAGGGCTCCCATTGCCCCCTGCCCTGGGTACGGGGAGGGTGCTGAGCACCTACCTCATGGCCTAAGCCCCAGGAACCCCCTTGATCCCCAACATCTACAGGGACCAAGCATATCCCAAGCCCAGCTCCCCAGGGGCAAGGCCCTGATGGCTGCCAGGAGCTCCCCCCAGACCTGTGCCTCTTTCTGTCCCCAGTGTGGTTTTGGGGACAAACCCTGTGCTCCAGAGGAGCCCCAGCCATAAGCCCTGGGCCCAGCTGTGCTGCACACAGCCCCCCTGCTGCCATGAGACTGGGCTGGGGCCTCCTTTGCTTCCACATTGCCTGGGGCGGCCACTTCCACAATCCCATTGCCAAAGGCTGCCCAACATTGCTCCTATTGATCCCGGGTGCCCCCACCCGCAGCGGGAGCGGCGGTGCTGCTGCCCCTTGGCTCCGTAATTTATGTTCCTAAGTTATGAATGGAGCTTTTGAGCTGGTGGAAAATAAAACTTCCCTGCTTCCCAACGCGGCAGAACCAGCAGCCGGGGGCCTGGCGCCGGAGGGGCCACGAGCGACGCCAGCGCAGCTCTGGGAGAGGTTCACCATTTATTTCACCTTGTTTGTGACGCTGTGGAACACACACAAAAACCCCCAAACGT